GTAATATTATGGTGGTTTCGAGTATTATTCCATAAATTTCCGACAAAATATGTATGTGTTTTTCGATTGATATTATTAATTGTATAAAAATATTATACTTTACGAGTTTGTTTTTGTTTTTTGGTGTATCGATAAAATATGATTCACCGGACCAAAATCTGGGTATAAAATCTTCCAATAATTTATCAAAATAACAGTTAAAAAATATTAAAGATGCAAGGACACAATTTTTTTTTTATAAGTAGGTCGACAAAAATGATCAAAATCATGAATATTTGCAAATCATTTTATAGTTAAAAGAATGAATTTTAAATTTTTTAGTTAAGAATTGAAAATTGAAAATAATATTTGTAAAATTATGTTATAGAGGAGTAGTCAGTAGTAGACCAAATATTAGTAATAATATTACAGTCTATTCTGATTATTAAACATATTAATTTTATAATACTTTCTGTTCGTATTAAAATGATAATTGAAATCATATCTCCACTACATTGAATTAAAAAAAAATCTCAAGTCTTGTCATCGCTCACGYACCACTATAGAAGGCGAAGAACGTTTATATAAATTAATTATGATGGTATAAATTTATGAGCCGTGTTATAAATTATGATGGCCAATTATAGGTGTGGTATCAAATAATTGGTATTGAGAAATTATAATTTGCGGTTTTATTAGAAAAAATCGCAACAAGGTGTCAAATGTCGATGCACTTCGCTTTGTAGACAAATCCTGCCAAGAGTATAATGTATTATGATAGTATTATGCGCCTTATATTATGACATACCCTTTATGGTTTCATTGTATTGCTGTWAGAAAAAACCGACAACTTTTAATGCAATTAACACACAATTTTAATGTAGCAGCATATATATCAATTATTATAACCAAATGGCAATTAGAAATATACAAAAGAAAAAAACTATAACACTCTACATAACACATTTTTTATTCAGCCCAAAAAAATGTTTATGTTAGCAATTCAAATTTTTTATTTTAAAGACATGATTATTTATGTGTGATTTTTGAAAACCTGATCCCGAGCTAGACTCGGTCACTCAGATATCTGATACATATATGCCATATAATAATATGCATAATGTTACAGGTAATGTGAACCAMAAATTCATTCAAATTATTTTTAAAGCAATAATATTTTTTACTAAAATAGTGTCATCCACTAATCATTATACGTAATATAATAATATTGATGAAAACACAAAAAAAAATCATTCATTTTTCATCAATAATAATTAGGGAACGGATTTGAACGCAAATCGCATTTTTTCTGAATGTCCGAAAACATTGTTTTCCAAAGCACAAAGTTCATTTCACACATTAACAAATTAAAAAATGTAATTTTTATTTTGAATTTTKTTGCATTTTAAWACTTAATTACATTTTAAAATCATTTTTTGACATTTTTATTGCATTTTATATGTTTTTAAGTMATTTTTTATAAGAAGGGATCAAATTTGATAGAAATGTATGAATATTCATTCTAAAAAAWTAAAAATAAATATTTATTGTGTTTTTACCGAACAGATAAACCCAAAAAAAGTTATTGTTGACACGTGTAGACACATGTATACTCACATGCAAGTTATATCAGATACATTTTTCATAATAATGTGTTTTTTTATTTTTTATAAGTTTTAAGTTTGAAATTGTGTTTTTATGGAATTTAAATACATTTTTTAAGTTTTTAGGAGATTTTTCTTATTTTTTATGGCATTTAAGTCCGTTCCCTAATAATAATGATATTAGGTATTACCTATTTATTTTATTCTAAATATTTAAAATCRAATTATACTATACTATAATAATTATATATAAAGTTAATAATATTGATGGATGATTGATGTACTCGTATGCGCCTCTGTAGCARGAGTTGGAAAGCAGACAGAGTGATTATGATAAATCATGGTATAAACAAACGGGTAACTTTAATATTATATTTATTTATTGTGGYGTTTTATCATCAACATTATATACGAATACAAGGTAATTTTTAACAAGATAATATTAATTTTATTCAAATTCTGACCTAACCTAACCTGATTTTTAGAAATTTTAAGCATGCCTCAAGACAGTATTTTCAAATTCTTGATATTTTTATATTACTTGAGGAGTATCCTGTGCTGAAACAAACTTCTATTTTTCAAATGACAACTTACCTTTTTTACYATAAATTATTTATCGGATGATTATTTGAAAATGTTGATATCTTTAAATCATGATTTTATAGTAAGTATATATAGTTTGTGAGTTATTAGAATGTTTTCTTATGAAAATAATAATTTTTAAATATGGTTTTGCAAAAATATAAACTATATACAGCAAAATCTTGCAAAGACGGAATCTCTTAGGACCGTATAATTTTTCCGTTYTAATGGAATTTCTGACTTGACGAGTGGTTCACATTCATTATGTATTTGATTCGGGACCAAAGATATGGGTCGTATTTTCAGGGTTTCCCGCCGGTTTCCGTCTTACTGAAGTTTTCTGCACACGCAAAATTAAATATGGTATTCATTATACCTTATATCATTTAAAAAAAAAAAATATTTATATTGATAGTCGAATATTAATTAATAATATTAATAAAATTAATAAAATTTTCAAATCCACTAATAAGCTCCCATATCTTCTTAATACATTATCGTATTATATTTATTATCCTTAGTACACAATGTTATTATTATATTTTTTACGATGTTTTATTCAATTTATGTTTTATTTTTATGTATAAAAGAACAATAAGAACAACTGAGGAATTAATAGATAACACAATGTTATTTAAATCAATAACTATTCGTTTGAGTTTTCTAACTGGTGGTTCCTATTTGAAAAAAACAGAAGGGTCAAGCTGTTTTTTGTTTTTTCATAAATATTATATAATTTAACATTTAAATGGGTGAATAAATTCACATAAGTACATCCTGTGCCCTAAACTTAATGGTTTTAATAATATT